GGCATTGCGGACGGGGAGTTTGTCAATGTGTGGGTCTGGCGTGTTTCTCCCGGTTCTTGTTCATATCGGGCAGTGCATGAACCGCTGTGTCTCTAGCCGTGGATTGATGCCGCTATCGTGCGCGCTGCCAGTCTCCGCCTCTACTTTATGTCGGCGTGTTATAGCAGGGCCCGCCGTGCTATGCAGGCCAGCAGTGCGGCAAATCTGGGTAGTAAAAGTACACCTGTACATACATACAGTGCAGTACATACAATACCGAGCCAAGGGATGGTGGTGCAGAAGATCTGCTTTACCCCCCTCAATCTCCATGCGCGTCATTTCCATGGGCCACGGCCCTATGTAAAATGCTCTGCTTGCTGCTGGCACGTCTTTGTTTCTGCGCGGTGGCGGCAGATTTCATGTCGGCAGCAGGAGCGGCGAGGCTGCATGGCATGGCAGCGGGCTCCATCCATCGCAATTCGAGATAAAACAAATAGATCGGGTCCGTGTGCCCCTCTTGCTGTCAGACGTTTCGATTCAAGAGGCCATTACGTAGCGACACGACAGGCGACCACCCCGACCACCCCGGCCACCCTGCGCTGTATCAGATACAGCGCACGAGACACCCTCTCCGCACCGTCTCCGCCGTGGCTGAGGGATAGCTCGAGGCAATATATTCGCTTTGGGAGTGGTGGGGATGGGATCATGGGCCCCCGGGGGGCTTCGGAATTGGAGGATTGGGGTGTTGGGGTCCAGAATAGTAAAACTGTCTAGTCCGCTATATTCGAGCCGGCAGTTTTTCGGGCGAGTGCGAGGGGGCCGTTTGGACAAACACAGAGAGAGCTGGCAGGGGGAAGAGATGGAATAAGCGCCCTTTCATTATTGTAATTCATTATGCCAATTCCACATTTGGAGTCAGTGAGTCTGGTTGATGTCCGGGGGAGGGATGCAAGATGGGGGCCGTTCTTCGACTTTTGGTTGCTTTCAGGCAGAATGGGCGCTCACATGACAGCGCGTGCTTTTGGGGCAGTAACGACCTACGGCAAAAGTCGCCTGGTGAACAGTGGACGCGTGGGGTCGTGTCGGGTCGCCGACGTCACACTGGCAGCAGTGGATAATCCATTGACCTCTGCTCCTCCCGAATAGTAATTTTCCTTGATTTTATGATACCAGAGTGAAGCAAGAAGTACCATGATCGATTTCCCAGCGCAAACACTACCATCACCAGCCAATCGGCAGCAATAACAATAGCAACAACGCTAAGCTGACCCTTTCTTTTCTTTTTCTGCACCACCACCACGAAATCAACAATGCCACCCCCACCTCCCTCGGCCCAACCAACCCGCCCCTTCGACACCTGGAACTCGTCCTCGACCGGCCACCAGCGCGCCGAGACCCGCGAGCCTCAGGGCTGGCGCGAGTCGCGCAATGCCAAGCTGCTCTCGCAGTTCCGGGGCGGCCACTCGGGCGGCCGGCGCATGTCCGGCAACGTCGGGGCCGGCGCCGCCACATTCGATAAGCGTCTGGGCATGGTCGTGCCGGCCGAGGTGCGCGCGCGCGCGGCCAACAGCGTGGCGGATATGCTGCGGAACCCCGGGAGCATGCGCGCCAAGGAGGAGGGCAACGACGGGGAGGAGACGGGGGAGGAGAGGAGGCTGAGGGGGGATGCTGATTTTGAGGCTGGCCAGGGGGCGGGTGATGGGGAGGGGAGCGGACGGGGCATGTTTGACGGGCTGGTTTTCTATGTCAACGGGAGCACCCATCCGTTGATCTCGGACCACAAGCTCAAGCGGCTGCTCGCGGACCACGGCGCGCACATGTCGACGCACCTCGGCCGCCGGCGGGTCACGCACGTCATCTTGGGGAAGCCGAACGGGTCCGGGGTCGGCGCTGGGGGCGGGCTGGCCGGGGGGAAGCTAGAGAAGGAGATCCGGCGCGTGGGCGGGTGTGGCGTCAAGTACGTCGGGGTGGAGTGGTGAGTACATGCCCAGGAAAGGAGTCGCGGTGCGGCGGCAGTCAAATGGACACTGTGCTGACGATCGACATGCGCACAGGGTGCTCGAGAGTGTCAAGGCCGGCAAGCGGCTGCCCGAGGCCAGGTTCGCCAATCTCAAGGTAGCGGCTCGGGGCCAGCAGAGCGTTCTCGGCGCCTTCTCGAAGACCGAGGAGGGGCTGCTGTCCCGCGGGAGCACGCAGCTGGATGCTACATCTGCTTCTCCTCCTGCTCCTGCTGCCTCGACGGCCCCTGGCGCTCGGCCATGACACGACGCAACACGACGCTGCCGCTGCCGGAGCGGCAAAGTCTTGTTGCTGTGTTCCCATTCCCCTTTTTCATATTGTTTCTGCGGCCACGCCAGGTCGGCGCGGAACGCACGGGTTGGATGACTGATGAGAAACGCCCTGGGACCGGTTTGTTTGCTACGGCGCTGCACGATATATTGACCTGCATTTCCTTTCTTCCCTCTGAAGGGGGTATCACGATCAATGGGGAACACACCTACACGGGTAGAGGGCATTCAACCGCATTGCATTGCACGCGCCGGTACGGCATCGCATGACATGGCATGGCATGGCATGGGCATTGGCGCCGCTTGGGAGTTGCGATGAGTCGTATTGCACGGGGAAACGGCGCTAGGGATGGCTTGCATGGTTGTGCTTCTTGGGACTGGGAAACTGGGTAGCTCCAGGCGGACGGCCGTCGATAAACGAAGCTCGGGTGGCTGAGGGGTGGCGGGAAAAGCAACAGGTCAATGTCTGTTTGTATTTCGGGCAGGAACAGTTGTCGTCGTATATCGTTTTGGATATCATCCACCCACCGCCCGCCCCCGCGGCCCGGCGGATTGGGCCGCTCGCCCCCGAGTCTGAAGGTTGGAGGATGGGATGGGATGGGATGGATCAGGTGGCGTTATGCCGCTGTCTCTCAGGTGAGTTGGCAGCTCATAACGGGCATACTGGGTGCAGCAGGCAGTATTGACATCGGCGAGGAGCTCTTGTCGCTGCAAGGAGTTGTCAAAAGTTGAGGACGCTGCACTTGCCGGTTCTGCCCGCCAATAGACTTCTACTGCCTTGGCTACACGCTACGAGTCGTCTGGTGTTCCCGTATACCCTCTCGGACTATATCCACGTCTATTCTCCTCATCCACATACGGCATGGCCGTGCTCCTACATATCGGAAACACATAGGCAGTATGATCCTTACACCCGCCCTCTCCGTTCCCCCTTGTTTATATCCCTATATCGTCGCGTCATCTGCTGGGCATCGTGAGACTGGACCGGCCGGGTCAGTGACGATCCCAGCCATGGAACCACGGCCGGATTGTTTGGCCCAGCTCCGTCCCCTCCCAGTCCCTTACCCGCCCCGTGTCGTGTGCATACACACGAGCCTCCGTCTCGTGTATTGCGCGGGGGGAGGGGACGCACTACACAGCTCGCCCCCTTCCCCCTCCACTAGCTGCTTCTCCTGGTTCCACGTGTGCATGCCTGCCGTAGCCGATCCTCCATCTGCCTGTCGTACCTCGACCGCGCCGAGCTAGGCCGCCGGGCCTCGAAACACGGACGCTCTTGGAGATGTTGCCATTTGCTCGTGGGGCGTCTTTTTGTGATGTTGCTTTTTTTTTTTTTCGAGCGCTTTCTAGCGCCGTCTTCTTATGATAATTAAGTTGTTCTAGTTCTAGGTGGCTAGCTCAGGTCGTATGCCGACACCCGTCGTCTTCTCGTCCCCTTCCCATTGTCTCCCCTTCCATGGCTGGGGTGCCACCGTCCACAACCCATTCTTTCTTGGCGTGGACGGTGAGGATTCTGTCTGGTGTTTGGTTGGTGGAGCAATGAGCTGAATGAAATACGGAACAAAAACAAAAATAACAGACATAAAGTGTTGCGGGCGGTGAAGGGGAGAGACGGAGGGAGGCGTTTCGAGTACACGGGATGGCAACGCTGTGGAACATTCCCCTCCTCCCCCTCGTGCCACCAACGAAGACGCAAAGGCCCGACTTTTTATGTGGTGGGTGGGTGTGGTAGTCTTGGACGCCTGTGTCCTTGGGAGGTGGCATCTCCAATGATATACCTCCTCGTAGCGTTCTTGGTGGTGGGTTTCTTATAGTAGGAGGACGAAATCGTGACATGTGTGTGGTATAGCGCAACGTGTGAGCTTCGAGCCTGGTTATGATCCTCTCAGACTGTTGTCGCGGTGCTGAGTAGTACGTCGATAACCCCCGAGCTCAACAGACTCGCACCAAGTGTCTCCCGGCGAGGCTGCTGCGCACACAGGGCCATCAACAACCAGTGATCCCCACCCGGGATGCGCCTAGGCGCTACGGGCCGGGGGAGAGCGGGGACGTAAACGGAACCTGTTGTCGACGCCATGTCTCAGTCTCTGTGTCATTGGGGGAGGGCGGGAGAGTCAATACGGTATGACTTGGCTGTGCGAGCCGACAATATAAAAACTGGGGATCGCCGTAGCAATTTGTTTGGACCAGGTCACCGCCGCCCTTGTATATTCCCTCTGCCACTCCATCACGATCCTACTACTCGGCCGCTCCCCGGCTACGCCACTCCGCCGAGGGCACTAACACGGGCCTGGGTACACGACTACCCATTTCAAAACTCACCGCTTCGGCCGGGGCCCTTCGCTCTGCCTTCCCCGGTAATGGCGAGACATCGGCCCGGGTCTCGAGCAACCAGGATAAATGAAGGTGAAGAAGCAAACAATTCCCAATGAGAGAGCTGACACGTGGAACTGTCAGGGGAGGTTCGCCTGGGTCATCTGGGCCTTCTGACCCACTGAACCGTGTTGCCAAGTTATACTATCAAGGTGACGCCGTTTCTAAGATCCGTGATCTTGACTGGTGTGTGTTTCTTTTGTTCGGGGTCGGACATGGCCACTCGCACCGGAACAAAAGTCTTTCAACACTGTAGTTGTATGCCACTGTAGTCCTATGCCAACAGTAGCATGGATGAGAAGGCGTGTACCAGGCAACGCAAAAATACAAAGCAAGTCTGCAAGAGACAAAAAGAAACAATTTCTCGGATACGGAGAATCGAGCCCCGGGCCCCTGAGCGCTCAATCTTGAAGAACAAGATGTTGAGAGTCAGGAATGTTGCCGTTACACCATACCCGGTTGTTGAGAGATTTAGTCTTCTTCTCACCCAATTGTGGGTTGTCGCTATGACTCGGAAATGCAGGGTGGATATGTGTTGTGGACAGAAACCGAGGATTTTCAGGGGGGCTTGATAGGAAGAGATGATCCATGACGTAGACATAATGTACCCACCCACAATAGCCTGGTTCGGATAGCATATTGGAAGACTTCAACATATCTTTCTGGAATCCGAAAACTTCAGCATCCAAAACCGACTTCGGATATGCCTGAAGAGTGTCGAGAAAGTCTGGAGATACCTTCCTTCATTGCAACCGGGCCTCTTCATGACATCCAACTTGGCTTTGAAGCTGGACTCTATAACCAAACAAGACCTGGGCACATACCTGAGCTGGCTGACAAGGAAATGGAGTGCCTCGGTATTTAGAGTAAGTACTACCAGGAATAAAAAGGGGTATTTTTTTACTTTCCAACATCTATTGGCATGATTTACTTCCAAGCCCACACAAACCCCTCAAAGCTTCGCCCTCACCCTTCCCTCAAAATAACCTCTTATCGCCCCCCTCGCCGCCTCCACCACACCGGCGTCCTCCACCGTCGACGGCACCGCCACCTCCTTGTCTCCCTCTCCCACCGCCGCATTCTCCACCAGCTCCCGCAGCACCCGCCGCAGCGTCTTGCCCGACCGCGTCTTGGGGATGACGGACGTGCCCGAGGTGCGGATCATGCCGCCGAGGGTAGCAATGGCGCCGATCTGGGAGCGGACGCGAGTCTGGATCTCGGCGAGGAGCTGAGCGTCGGATATTGCGGGGGAGGGCTGCGTCGTCACGAAGGCGAAGGGGAGGTGCCCCTTTAACGCATCAGGGATGCCGATGACGCAGGCTTCGGTTACCAGGGGGTGCGAGGTTATGGCTTGCTCGAGGGTTCCGGTGCTGAGGCGGTGGGCGGCGACGTTGATTATGTCGTCTGATGGCATGTGAGTTTTTTTTTTTTTTTTTTGAGGCATGGATATGGAGGGGAGCGTACCTGTCCGCGCCATAATGTGGATATACCCATTCTCATCGACATAGCCCGCATCACCGGTGTCAATCCATCGGCCACTAAAACGCTTCAGGTAGCCACGATAGAACCGTTCCTCATCCTCCCATAGCGTCCGGAAGGCCGTGGGAGCCAGTGGAAGAGCCAGGACGATGTTGCCCATGGTACCCCTAGGGACTTCATTGCCCTCGTCGTCGACAGTCCTGACGTCAAACCCCGGCATCGCCTTGCCAGCACTTCCCGGCTTAACCGCCAGTGGGGGGTGGTCCTTCACCTCCGTCTTCCTGTCCTTTCCAGCATGCGGCACTAACGCAATACCTGAAATCGGACTTCCTGACTCCGACGACCACCAGTTGTCGATGACGTGAGAATCTTCAGCACCATATCGTTTCAGCAAGTCCTGGTACAGGGTGATGATCGCTGGCTCGGAGCGCTCCCCGGCTAGAAACAAGGCCCGTAAACTGCGTAGACCGCCGCGTACGCCGACTGCGGCGATGCAGGCGTTGTCGGGATCCTCCTTGCGGATGGCGCGTAGGGCTGTCGGCGCCGTGAACATGGCGTTGATCTTGTACTCTTCTACAAGACGCCAGAAGGCAGATGCGTCAGGCGTCCCGACAGGCTTCCCTTCGTAGAGAACCGTTGCCGCGCCCGTGAGGAGTGGACCGTAGAGGGTATAGCTATGCGAAACAACCCAGCCGATATCACTGAAGCAACCCATCTGGCAAGAGGACAAATGTCAGCAACACGACCCAAGACAAAAAGAAACGAGGAAAAAGAAGAGCATACCACATCCCCCGGCCCATGAATCCCAAAGAGATACGTAATCATCAAATGCAGCCCAACCGCATGCCCACCGGCCTCTCTCAACACCCCCTTCGGCAATCCCGTCGTGCCGCTGGTGTAAATGATATACACTCCATCATTCGACTTGACAGGCACACACTCGGCTTTCAGCCCCCGCGCGCGGGCGCTCTTGACCAGGTTCTGCCAGCTCCGCTCGCCCTCCGTCTTGACGAGGGGGTGCCACGTCAGCTGCTCGCGCTGCCAGATAATTGTGCGCGGCGGTTTCCACGCCGATAGGCGGACCGCCTCCTCGATGAAGACGCGGTACAGCTGCGCTGGCTTATTACCGTCGATACCGCACGATGCCGTCAGTACCGCCACGGGGCGCGATGCCTCTATACGCTGGGCTAGAGCATTCGAGGCAAAGCCGCCGAAGACGACAGCATGGATCGCGCCGAGCCGGTTGATGGCTAGGATGCCGATCAAGGCGGCTGGGATCATGGGCACTGAGCGGGGTTAGCTGGGTGGTGTGGTGATGTTAGAGGGGGGGGGGGGGGAGAAGAGGTTACTGTAGACGAGAACGACATCGCCTTTTTTTACGCCCTCCTGGCGGAGGACTGCGGCGAAGACCTCGACCTCGACAAGGAGCTCGCTATAGGTGATGCGCTGCTTGGTGTTGGTGACCGGGCTGTCGTAGAGGATGGCTGGGGCGTCCCCGTTGCCGGCAAGAACGTGGCGGTCGACGCAGTTGTAGCACGTCGAGATCTCGCCGTCGGGGAACCAGGTCCAATGATCGTGGGTGTCACCGCTGGGGAGCGACTTGGAGGTCTGGGTGAGTACAGCCGAGGGCTTCTTGTGCCAGTGGAGGTGCTCGGCTTGGTGCCCCCAGAAGCCTTCGGGGTCGACGAGGGAATGGTGCTGGACCGCGTCTTGGGGGTGGTCCATTTTAGGTCAAGAGCCAAGACAGCAGAGGTCAGGCAATTGGGATGGCAATCAGTGGCAACAGCAGCGAGAGAAGAATGGGAACTAATTGATATCGAATTGAGTCTTGCTTTCTGGCTGTCTTCTATACTTGAAGTCGTCCCTCGGCTGGCTTGGCCTGGCCTGAGAGGTGCTCAATGGCGTTCGATGATGCTCCGCGCTGAGCTCCCCGTTCTCCGCATTCCGTTACCCCGACATTCTCGGCTCGCTCCCGGGCGATCAGCGCGGGGGAGCTTCACCCATTGGCCGCCCTGGACCACCGTTGCCGAGCTATGGGCAGATGCTGATGATATGTCACGGAGACATGGAGCCTTTTCTTCTTTGACTTTCATGGCTGACTGTCCGACAGTCTGTCTCTCGTTAGCGTGTTGCGAACTGGATGCAGGGTTGTCGAACTAGCAGCTGCGAGGATTCCCAGGGCTAGCAGCCTCTGGAGCTAGGACCACTGGACTGGACTGGTAGAGAGGCAGGACTTGTCAACACAACCTCCCTGGCACCCGTCCAAACTCACCAACGGCAACGCGGTTTATCCGCCTGGCAATACAACCCGAGCTCACCGCCAGCCAGTGACAGCGTCAGCGCCGTCAGGCCGTCGGCGGCAACCTAGTGAACCGTTGCGTGGTTTGCAGGTGCCGATTTGGCGCTCTGGTCCCTCGTTCCCAAGCAAATGCAATTTCGCTTGTTGTCACACACCCCCAGGCGTGCGCCGGCTTAGTGGCTTCAAAACAAAATGAGCAAGTCATCATTCAACCAGAGATTGAAAGGAGAGACGAGGGTCAGAGAGAGAAACATGGGTCCAGTCTTGTCTGGGTTGGTCTCATCGAACACCAACATCCACCATTGGGATTCATTCGAGGGTTGGATGGCGGAAGGGGAGGGGAGGGGGAGGGGGAAGGGGGGGCACTGCGCAAACGAGGACGAAGTAGAGTGAATATATTAATTTGCATTATCTATCGAGGCTGCGATGCTGACCACTTCTGTTCCTGTCCGTGGCTACGAACTCCTTCTCGACAGGAAGTCTCAGTTCCATGGATGAATGTCCGTCGGCCGGGGCCAAAACCCAACGACTGGCTGTGACACGGCGGCAACTATCCCCACCTGGACTGCACCGCAAAGTCAATCCGAGGGACAGCTCAAGTGCGCGATCCTGGCTAGACAGAGTCGTATCCTATGGGTATTATCACCGAGGATGCATCTTTTTCTGTTGGTTCCTATATCTAGATTGTCAGCACTTGTCGCTTTCACAACATGGCAAACATGAACAATGATGGGAAGATCCAGTCAGACATCCAAGGAAGGTTGCTCCGTCATATGTCCCAAGTTTAGGCTCTATAGGACTCAAGTGGAAACTGCGAATGTAGGAATATTTCATCATGGTGGATCGGTTTGTGCTGGTGCTGGTGTTTTGTGAAGAGGATTTCGACTGACCTTCGGTTTACTGTTTTTTATTGACGGCTGCTAAACATTAGTTGAAGCGCCTGTGGCAAGCATAAGTAAGAAAGTAGGAGCAAAAAATTTTTTTTTTTCCAGAGGCGAAAAAGACAACTTATATCCGTGCTCTGAGCAAGCTGCTGGTGGAGCCGGTAGAGTTTTCATCTGACTTGTTGAACGGCCAACCCAAGGCCTTGGGTGTCCCAAAACAGCCCGTTGCAACTTGCGTTTTTTTTTTCTCGGCTCGATTTTCTGGTCGGCTCGAAAATCTGGGGAACGGGAGCCATCGATAAAATTAGATTGCCGTGCAGCAGGTATACCCCGATTGTCTTGAAACTCCAAGTCGTCGCTGCCTCAACTGGATACTCGCATTGAACTTTGTCATGAGCAAAATGTGTCAACGAGTCAATTGTATCACTAGTCCGACAGCAGTCTGATTTTCATCTGATATTCATTATGTATGTCGGGTATCTCAAAGAAAACAGCCCGTCTCATCATCGTCAACCAACAAAGGACTTTGTAAGAGAGCAATAGGCCGCTGGGCCAAAACGAGTTCTTGGAGCAATGCCTGCTTGGCTATATACAAAGCTCGCAGAACATTGAGAACAGTTATCCCAAGACCAAAAACACGCCCAACGGCCCAGTAGCATGAAAAGAAGATAAAACAAAAATTGAGGTTTTGAAGGTGTTGGTATTTTGTCCGAGAAACCGTCCAACGCTTCATGGTCGCCCATAAGACCATGTCCGGAATCCTGCGTATGAACCCTTCGTGAGAGCAAACCCAAGGT